GCCGTGGTCCCCCCAGTGCCCAGAGGGGAGCTTCATCACGTCCTGAGTGCTAGCTGTGTCAGACACTGATTAGACTCCTTCCCCCTTTCCTACAGATGTGCCCCGATAAGCTCCGTGGGTCCTATGCCTACTCCGGTGACACCATGATGGGCTGGTACCCTGATCTGTCCACGAGAACATCCCTCGTCAGCCATCACCTTGATGGCCGCATGCAAATGAGGGCTCTTTCCACCTTCCGGGGCAGCTGGCAGGGCTGCCCCAGTCCCGTCTGTCAGGAGTGGGTGGGGGCCTAGGAGGTTCTGTGCCAAGGCCTGGCAGCTGGGCACTGCGGTGCGGGAAGAAGGTCTTTTGGACTCCGAACACTGGGGTGGACCACCGGGCACAGCCCATCGCGCATGGCTGCTGCCCCCCACGCTGCCTGCCCATGCCTGCAGCGCAGGCCTCGCACCGGCCGGCCTGGCCCGACACCACGGCTTCCCCACGGACGGCCCATTCTGCGGCAGCCTTGAGAAGCCAACCCAGCATCTGTAACGGCCACCCCGGGGACCTTCCAAGCCTCTGGTGACTCTTCACCCCAACTCGCTAAGAAAACCTCATAGCTTAGTCTTGCGAGTAGGAACCCGCTCCTTTGAAGGAAGTCAGATCGCCCGCGAGGTTCAGGAGCCCCGGCTGACCGCTGCGAGCAGAAAGCAGTTCTCAGGAGCCCGGAGGAGCGATTCGCACATCCTCCCTGGGCAGTGCAGGACACGCACTCGATCGTGCCCAGACGGCCCTGCTGCCTCAGCCCTACTCCAGGAGCCCCGGCAGGCTGTGGCCACACCGCGCAGTCAGGCACCCGGAGAGCCTCTGCCTCCTGGCCTCGGGGGCCCCGAAGGAGCCCCCACTCTGTGCCTGAGGGCACGGTGTCCTCTCAGGACCCACAGGTCGTGGGGTCGGCCATGGTGGTGCCTGTGGCCTGCATCACCCTGAGCGCGGGGCGTCCGCTCCGACCTCGCCCACGTCCCAGCTGTTTGTGGCCAGTCCACGAGCTAAGTGCTGTCTTCACACTTACAAATGGCTGGGGAAGAAAACCCCGTGTTTGGTGACAAGGGAAAATGACACAGAATCCGAGCATCAGTGTCCTCACGTGAAGTGTGGCTGCCCCGCACCTGCGGGCAGCCACTCCCCGGGCCCGGCGCACCCCACACCCGCTCCAGGGCACGCCGAGGGGCTGGAGATGGGGTCGTTGCACGCGGATCTGGGCTGAGGGACCCCCACCAACCTCCTGTTTGCTGCTTGTCTGAAAGTGGGGACCAAGGAGCCGGCTCTGAGACGACAGTCCAGTCCTTGGCACGGCGTGCTGTGCGCACACGGGTAACCGCAGCTGCGCGGAGCGCGCCACGTGCCCGAAGCCCTAGCAGCGGATCCGGTTCTGGCTGGCGCAGCTGCACTCGCCCCCAGCTTCCCCTGCTTCCCGACAACAAGAGCACACGGGGGGACCTCTGTGGCCACGGGGGCATTGCAGTGTGGCTAGTGAAGGATGGCCACCCGAAAGCGTCCCGGGTTTTGTTTGGGTGCTAGAGTCAACGACCAGCGCCCCCGTGAGAGGACAGACGCAGACCCTGGCGGAGCACCGCGTGCGGGCAGAGGCCAGGAGGCCACCGGGGGCCACCGGGGCACCGGGAACTGGAAGAGCAGGAAGGACCCTCCCCTGGAGCCTCCGGAAGGAGTGCAGCCTGCGACACCGTGGGCTCTGACTTGAGGGCTCCAGAAGGGGTAGAGAACACGGTCCTATTGTTTTAGGGTTTCTGCTTCGGGGTCCCAGGTGGCGGACACCAGCACAGTGACCACCCCACCTTCTGCGGACTCTGTGCCCGGCTGGGCGGGTGCCGGCCTGGTCTGGACCGGAGAGGGCAGCAGGCGGGGTGGTGGTGAGGAGTCTGGTGAGGGAGGTGGGGCTGGGGCCTCACTTGGGGCCTTGGGTGCCATGTTGGGGAGTGGGTGCCGTGGGGACCCCCAAGTCGGGGCCTGTGTGTGCTTCAAATGACCGGCCCAGCCCAGGCAGGGAGCAGAGGCCCGGGCCAAGTGGCAGGAGTGTCGAGAGCGGTCAGCGGCCAGGCCTGGCACCAGAGGAGCAGGCTGGGGAGGCCTGTTCCAGCCGCGGCGGGAGCCCCACAGCTGAGGACGCGGGAGAAGACCGGACTCGTGGGCTTGGACAGGCTGGGCTCAGAAGTATCGGGGACCCCGGCGCAAAGGAGAGACATCAGCAGCGGGTTGGGGGGGGCAGCGCCTGGCTAGGTTCTTTATAAGCTGTAACAAAGGCCAAATGCATTAGCTTCTCAGGTCCCATAAGGCCTGGAAACCAAGCGTCCTCCGTGATTGTGGGGCCAATGGGAGCTGATGGCCAGTGGGGAGCACAGCCAACAGCCCCAGGAGCCTGTCCCGACACACACAAGGGAGAGCAACCGAGACGCAGCGCTGTGGGGAGAAGGTCACGCACGCCTCTGAACCATGTTTCGTAGGCACGCAACCCTCAGTGATGCTGAAACACAGAGGGAAAGTTCTCGAAGACGTGACCCTCTGGGAAGGAGCTTCGAGCGGGGGGGTTAGCTCCACACCTCTGCACCGCACAGTCTTGTGAGAAAACCTTCACATGCTTCTCGTGGAGGCCGCACGCGAACGCTAAAGCCCAGGCCACCAATGGTGCCCCCCCCGTCCCCCTGGGGCCCTACCTTGTCCGGACGTCCTTGGCACGGATGGGAGCCAGCAGGCTAAAGGAGGATCTGGCCTCAGAGGCCAGGGGGCTCGGGGGCCGGCCGGGGCCCAGGCTGCTGTGGGCCCGGAACAGTCTGCTTGGCAGGCGGGCCTTGAGGTCGGCCTGACCCGAGTCTACCCGGTCGGCCGGCCGCAGGGAACCGGAGGCCACCTTCTGGTCCACAGCGGGCAGCCTGGCGGGGCTCCGGGCTGAGGCCCCGTCCCGGTGCAGGACGTCCAGGGAAGTGCTGATCATCCCGGAGATACAGTGACCCCATGAGGAAGGGCTCCCTCCCGCGCTGCCCTGGGCCCTGCGGGATGTGGGGATCTCCTGCAAGGAGGCGCTCAGGCAGTGGGGGGAGTCGGTGTGGGCGGGGGGCCTGAGGACCTCGTCCTGTGAGGAGCCCCTACAGGGGCTGGCCCCGACGTGCGCCGCCAGGTCCTCGTGGCTGCTTGGAAAACGCCGCCGCCTCCACGCCTTCTCGTCCAGGGACAGAGCTCGCTCCAGCCGGGGCCTCGGCGGTGGCTTTGGGATGAAGCTTGCTGCCTTGGCTTGTGGGTCCTCGTTGCTGATCTGTGCTGGAAGTTTCGGGGGGAGCACTGGGCTCTTCTCAGGGCCCTCACCATTGTTGGCAGGTGGGGACCCTGGGTGGGCTGCGAGGTCTTTGCCCATGTTTGGAAGCTGTCCCTTGAGCATTCTGTCTTCAGGCTGCAGATGGCCCTGGGCGGCAGGCTGTGGGGGAGACGCCCCTGAACGGCCCACGCCCGCTAACCTGGATGGCATAGTCCAGGGGCCGGCTCTCCCAGGCTCTGGCAGCCCGCGCCCCCCTCCCGCTGCCGGGGGACAGTTCCCGCTCTGGGCTGCCAGGGAAGCCCAGGGTCAGGGATGCACGGCCAGACCAGGGCTGGCAGCTGCGGAGGAGAGAAGGCGCAGGGGCTCCTCTTCAGGCCCGGGGCCGGCCGGCGGGGGCAGGGCCCGTTGCTCCATGGCTGGGAAGCCAGAAGTCCTGCGGTCCCCCACAGGAACCTACAGGAAAACCGAGCTATTAGCCTGGGACAGCCACGACCCCCGTGCCACGTGACTGCTCCCATGGGACTGCGGTGCAGGGAGACAGAGGGGCAGGCCGGCAACCGTCTAGCGAGAACACACACTCAGACGTGTCGCCTGCCACCTCCTCCCGGGAAGCCACCGTGCAGACTGGGCCTGTGCCTTCCTGGGGCTCTGGGGGAGGACCAGGGCAGAACCACAACCCAAAGGTCAAGGCCAGTTCGAGCAGCCTCGGACGGGGAAGGGGTCCCCACACCCTCACTCACCTGCGTGCCCATCACCGCCGCTCCTCCCGCAGACCCCGCCCCGAGGGAGGCCCCTTCCGCCCGCCGCGCCGCCGCCGCCGCCGCCGCCGCTGCCGCCGCAGGCCCGGGCTCAGAACCTGCGAGTCCGCGGGGCCCAAGGGCAACGACCGCAGCGCAGGAGGACCCTGCCCCCGGCCCGTGTCCCCAGCCCCCGCCCAGGGTTCAACCCTCGCTCCGGGCTCGCGCCCCCGCCCTACCCCGAGGTCGCCCCGCGCCCTGGATACGCGTCCCCGCCCCTGCAAAGGGTTACCCCACGCCCTGGACTCATGCCCCCGCGCCGTTCCCGGTCGCCCCGCGCTCCGGACTTGCGCCCCCACACCCCGGCCCAGGGGTCACTCCGCGCTTCGGACCTGCGCCCTTAACCCCGCCCAGGGGTCACCCTGCGCCCCGGATCCGCGTCCCCGTTCAGGGGTCACGCCGCACTCCAGACCCGCACCCCTGCCCGGAGGTCGCCCCGCATACCCGCCCAGGGGCCACCCCGGACCCTGCATCCGCGCCGCCGCCCAGGGACCGTCCTGCACCCACCTCAACGCGCCGCCCGCTCCCCGTCCCTGCGGCCTGGCGGCCGCTCCCCGGCAACGGGCGTCCGAGAAAGTCCGGGCTCGGTCCTCGCAGCGGCCCCTGCCGGTCGGAGGACCCAGCGCACGCCCAAGAGCGCGGAGCAGTCCCCCTTTCCCACCCTGCAGCTTCCTGGGCAGGGGCCGGGGGCGGAGGGACGACACACACTGGGGCAGGCCTCCCCAAGGGGCGCACCCCACCTGCTGTCGAGGGGTTAGGGGCGGGGGCTCCCCGGCGGACCCACCCGCGCCCAACGCAAAGCCCCTCAAGCTCGCAGCCCCAGGCAGGGGCCTTGTCCCCCCCACCCCACCACCCACGGTGACCCACAGACAGAAGGAAGCAACTGACGACAGCGCTTGCGAGCGCAAAATACTTTATTTACCAATTTGCAGTGTAACAATTTGCATTTAGGAAAAATAGCAGCTCCCGCCTGGCCTCGCAGGGAGCTTCTTGAATCAAAAGTCGCTGGCGGCCGCTGCGGGCAGGCAGAGGAAGCCAGGGGCATGGTGCCAGGAGGGTCTGGGGTCCCAGGAACCCCCTGAGCGCAGACCAAGGGACACAAGAGGCTGCTGCCCCGTCAATCAGTCCCAGCCTCTCTCCAAGTGAACAAATGCACCCAGACGTGCGTGTGGGCGACACCATGGGACAACTTCCGTGGCCCTTCCGAGATGACCCAGGGCCAGGGGGAAACAGGAGGCCTGCACGGATTCCACAGTTAGACCATTTCTGCATTTAGATTTAAGACCCCAAGCAAACTACGCTCCCCGGGGGAACCTACAGAAATTATTTTCTAATGATTCTTATAAATACTTAAATCTTTTCTGTAGTCTCTTCAGACCTAACAAGAACGAGAGAGGAATTTTCTGAACAGTCGATGAAGCCGTAAAGCTCGGAGTCCGGGGGGTAGGGTCCCCTCAGTGGTTTCGCGCGGCTGGCGGGCCGCACGCTACCTGCGGATCTGGTGCGGGAAGAACAGAGCCTCGGACTCAGAGTGTGTGTCAACAGTCCGTTCCGCCCTCTCTTCCAGATGTCACCACCCTGAGAGGACGGCAACCAGGTGAGAGAAAGCAAGGCAACTGGACGGCACCGTGAAGACCAGTCAGGACAGAGCACAGTGCCGACGGCGACACAGAGGGCACTGTGGCCCCTCGAGGTGTCTAGTCAGGCTCGTCACAGACTGGAGAAAGCCCCATCCAACTTGTCACAGTGACAGTTTCAGTAAGGTGGACCGATGGGGGCCAGTCCGCGGGGGGCACAGCCGCAGGGCCGCCCCTCGTGGACGGGCAAAGCCGGGCCCCTGGCTCGCACGGGGCACCAGAGAAGCTGGAAACGTCTTTGCCGCCCGGAGATGCGCTTCGGGGACTTGGGCCTCTCTCGAAAACTAACCGAATTCTTGCCACCGAGCCCACAGCTCCTCGGGGACTTTGATGCAGAAAGGACCTCCCGCGGCCGCCAGGAAGGCGGTGGGGCCTCTCCTGGGTCCAAGGCTTGCTCTTCACTCAGCATTTTAAAGGACCCCGTGGGGGTTGGGGGGCAGGGAAGCACGGTTAGGTTTGCAGAGACACCTGGGTTCCTCAAGAGCGAGATCCTTCTTGCAGCAAAGACGTCTCCAGCCTCACCCGGCACGACGCTCTTCCAGGACAGACAGTTTTACCCTTAAATCACTGTTGGGGAACGGAGGAGCCAAGAGCGCCCGCTCCAGCCAGCGCCTTCCAGGGGCTGCACACCTGCCTCGGGCCACCCTTCACAGACGGCGGTGGAAGTACAGGTTCGATCACGTGGCATCACTGCGTGCCCATTCGGGGACGCGGGGACGGTGCAGGCGATCCATCTGAGTTCTTGCTGGAGCAGAATGATGGCTTCAGGGTTCCAGATGCTACTCCAGGGTGAGGACTCTTCTAGCTCAATGCTGGGTACTTCCTCTGGCCAATCCTCCCCATCCTGGAGCCTCCGGAGGGGGCCGAGGCCTGCAGACAAAAAGAGCGCTGACTTCCGTGTGCCCGAGGCCTCTGAGGCCGGTGGCACCCCGGGAACACCTCGAGACTCGGGCAGGGGGGCGGGACCGTCTACATCGACCCACAGGCAGTCCCCCTGGTAACTGGCCAGGCCAGGACCAAATCGATCGTTCTTAAAGGTGTGTGCTTTGGCCAGGTGGTGAAGCAAGGAGGCTGGCCACAGCAGCGGCAGCGCGCGGGTGTTTACCTGAGCCTCCTCGCACACCCCGGCTGGAATGTGTGCCAAAGAATTTGTGTAAAATAATGACTACAAGACGGCGGTAACAGGACGGAAAAAAGCACATCTTGGGAGTGGAAAAGCAGGTCCATGGTGGCCAGGTTGTAACTTGGGTGGGACGCGGTAGCCCTAAGGTCGGGCTGGTAGGGGGACGAGAGCCAGGTGCGGAGGGAGCAGGCCCGGTCACGCCGGGCAGTGAGGACAGGAGCCGCACCAGGACACCTGGGCTCAGGCGAGCATTTACATCCTAAATGCCAGGACCTCCCCGCCCTGGCTCGCCCCAAACTGGCAGCCGGTCTGTCTGCTATGGGCAAAACTGGGCACGGAGAAGAGAGACGGCAGAGGCAGAGAAACGGAAGGGAACGTTCAGCAACGACCCCGAACTGCAGGACGCAGGCTGGCCGGGAGGAGGGCCCAGGCCCGCGCGTGGGAGTCAGAGGCAGACCCACGGCGCAGGGTGTCAGCAGGAAAGCGCGGGAGCCAGGAGCGGGAAAGGGCCGACCGAGGAGGGAGAAGGGTCAGCAGGCGTGGGCCGGGGGCCAGGAGGGCACTGACCTGTGCAAACTGAGTGGGGCTGTAGAACGGCGCGGCTGCCCCGGGGTGGTCGCTGGGAGCCTGAGAACCACAGAGAGCCATGTCAGCACCGCGGACAGCGCTGCGCTCGCTCCCTTTGTGAACAGACACACTCCTGGGGACCCGCTCCCAGTGCTTCTAAGAGAGCCATGGATGCAGGTGGAGACACTTGTCGCAGCCCTGGACGTAATTACGCCAAGGTCCACGGGAAAATGGTGACACGTAAAGCAGCATGCAGAGAGAAATGCCTCAAAACCAGAACATGCAGGGACAAGGAGTGCGTGGCGCCAAGATGTCCCGTTCGTGCTGACATGGGGCAGTTAGCAGACGCTTCTGAGGACTTCAGACCTCGGTGCCCAGCTACGAAAGCCAGTGCTTTAGTGCGCAAAGAAAAAGGTCACACGAAGCCTTCTACCGAGCCAACGGAAGCTCTGTCCCACGATACACACGAAAGATGACGCATTCCTTTATCTCCCGCCCAGACTGGCTGGAGGACAGCTTCCTGCCACGCCCCACCTGGCCTACAAGACACCGTCTCACACTTGGTCAGAGAACAGAAGTCCCTCCTGCCCCGTGGGCTTCGGAAATCCACTCACACACGGTGAGGCCACGCCAGAGGCTGGCCACGTGGAAAAACCAATCCGGAAAGAACACTTAACAGACCGCACTCATTCACTAGGCACATCGGGGTCTACGTGCCCGTCAGTGCATCAGGACGGCTCCCGACCCCCTGAGGACCTAGGGAGAAAGGAACACTACATCCTCCGGTGTGTGGCGGGTGGGGAGGCAGCGGGTCGCGTTAGTGACACGGCACAGTGGCCAGCCAGCACAGTGCGCTCAGAGGGGACACAAAGGCGACCCAGTTCAACGCGTGTCCAGTGAGAACCGCCAGGCACAGGTACCTGATGAAAATGCTGGCTTACTTCACGTGACAATGAACTCAGTGAACTACAGCGTGAAAGCTACAGGAACACACACAAAACACACACAAATAGAAAATCAGCATGCACGCTGCCGCTCCGAGCAGTCCGTGTAACCCGAGAGCTGCAGGATGCCCTCAGAACCGGGACAGTCGGACGGAGAGGAGCCAGAGTTAGCTTACAAGGCCTGCCTTCGGGGGCAGCTTTTAGAGAGAAAACAACCCCAGCTGGGGGCCCTCGGCGGCCCGGCCGTGCTGAGCAGAGCCGGGGGCAGGTGCACTCCAGCCCTGCTCCAGGTGGGGACCCCGGGCAATTCTGCACAGACGAGTGGGACCGTCTGTTGTGCAAACGTGACACCAGGCAGTTTTAAGAAGCTGCTCAACTGTCTCTTCCGACTCGTCAAGACTCGCTTTTGAAGGAAGCAGCCGCGTGCACAGTGCACGCGAGCAACGTGCCGGGCCGGGCTTCTGGGCAGGTCCTTTTGGTGGGAGGGCCTTACCTCTCCTCTGCGGGAGCCGTCCTCGCCCGCGGGTGGGAGCTCAGGGCCAGCCAGCGAAGCGGCAGAGCTGAACGCCTGCGGGAGGAAGACGACGTGCAGCTGTCCCGCCGGCAGAACCACACGGTACCCCCGCCCCCGCCCGGCCTGGCCCCGAGGCGCTGGGCTCCACGGAAGGCGCTGGTCTGAGCAGATGCAGGGCCCGCCGCTCCGCTGCCCATCTCCAAGGAACGTGGATCCCGGGCCCACGACGGCCTGGTCATCCCAACTCGGAGCAGGAAACGGACTTTGAAGCATTATGTGACCCCTTACGTGTTAAGCAGCTCATTAACTGGGGACCCAGGCTCGCAATCCACTGTCCCCCTCAGACACCAGATTGTCCGTGATTTCACACCCCAGTTCCCAAAATCAAAAACCACCTCTCCGACTACGATTTCAGCGAGACAACCACGAGGCCTCGTGCACACGGTCACACTCCCCATCTCCAGAGGGAGACTGTTCAGGGCAAAGACACTTCCTACACACACGGACTTGGTCCCCGGGTGCACAATGGGCCTGACACAAAGGTCGGGCCAATCTCCCGGGCAGGGTGTGGGGCAAACCCTCCCCGTCCTCCTGCCCGGCCTGCAGCCCTGCTCACCTGGGGCTCCGAGGCCAGCTCTGCGTTGGCTGGACTGCCCGCAGGCGCCTGCCCTTCCCTGCCGGCCCCCGCTGCAGGTGGGACTTCCTCTGCATCTGTGAAGGGGACAGCGCCAGAAGCTGTCATTCTGTTCAAAACGCCGCTGGCCTGTCGTTTCCCACAGTCCCGCTCGTGGGGGACAGGGAAGGGGGTCCATGAACGAGGAGATGAGCCCCAGCTCTCTGCACATCGCCCGGGTCGCTATTCTTACGGGAGATTAAAGCCAGAGGAGCTCAGGAAAGGGATCAGAGGTCAGGAGGTCCCACACTGCCCACCTGGACTCGGCCCGAATACGTGTGCAGGCATCGGGAGCGGGGCCAGGGGGGCGAAAAGCTCTGCAGGAGCCAGCGCCGGCTCGCTCCGCTGGGGCCCCCCGGGGTTCAACACGTCCACGTAGCGCGCTCTGGCTCCAGCTGTGCCGGGAGAAGCGGCAGATTTGGGTCAGCACCCCAGTGCATCCCGTTCCCCCGGGGTCCCCCTTCCCCGAGCGGGAAGAGCAGACGGGGACGCAGCTCTGCATGAGGCACAGCCCGGCTGCTACCCCAGAGGAGGTGCCCATTCTGTACATCGAGGCTACCAGAGCCACGCTGCTCGCTAACAGCTCGGCGGCTGCGGGGCAGGGCTCGCGCGCTCTAGAGACGGTGGGGGGGCCCCCTGCAGACTCGCCCGAGGAAAACCAGGACCCCCCTTGCAGACAGACAGACAGACCGCCATCTGCCCTGTACTTCCAGCCCTTAAGCTCCGGCATGTCTGCAGAACGAGCAAGTTCTCAAACCAACTCTAATCTCTGGCTCGACTCTGTTACCTGCTTTCCTAGAGAACATATTCACAGAGGCCCTCGGGGGCCCTCCAGGACCAGGGGGCGCAGCGAGCGGAGCCTTGGGGAGCGAGATGGGTGGGGGCGGCGGAGCCTTCCTCTGTGGAGGGAAAGCCGGCTCAGAGCCCTGCCTGTGGACCCAGAGCTGCGGGACGGCACGCGGAGCAGGGCCCAGGCAAGCAGAGCGAGGAACCCAGACGTACCTCCTCCTCTGGCTCGTTTACGTCCACCCACCGGTTCTTCTTTTCATCCCAGACGATCTGCCGCGATCGTGAAAAGTAACGTTAGGAGACAGAGCCGAGGGGAAGCAGCGCCTGCGGCCTCCGGGCCTGGGCGACCGGGCCCCCCACGCACGGGCGACCCCCACGCACGGGCACGCGCACGCCCCTTGGGGCCGCGCTGCACAGTGCTTACCGATTTGTTCTTGTCGTCCGGCAGGTAAGCTTCTGTCCTCCTTTTCCCAGTCAGCCAGCGGGAGAACCAGGACTCGCCGCTCTAAACATGAAAACCATCAGAACCGCCTCGAGGACACGGTGCCGCATGAGGTGAGCCCAGCACCGAAAGGCCCTGAGGACTGGCTCCCAGGAGGCCCCAGAGGAGCCACACGCACAGATGCGGGAGGGGAGGGGCACGGTGTGCACCGGGGCCGAGGTCCGGTCTGAGAACACAAGTCCCGGAGACGGGCAGCGGGGGCAGCTAACGCCACAGAACCGTGCCCTTAAAAACGGTTAAAATGGTTAACATCTGAACACGTGCCTTTTGGAGCTTTTCCTGTCTAAATGCCAACGAGTGGCAGGCTCTGGCATCCTCCCAGACTGAGCAGCAGCAAGCAGACCGGCCACGCCCTTGTGGGCCCCGTGGACAGTCCCCCGCCCCGTGGCCTTATGCTGGGAGAACACACGTGTCAGGGACGCTCACTTCCATGCCGGCAGGCCGTGCCTCAGCGGAAACACAGACAAGGAGGCAGCGGGTGTGTGCTCGCAGACCCGCCGCTCTGACCTCCGCAGCGCTCACGACGGGTCAGCGTCCTCTTGTAGCTCAGGCTCACGCACGCTCGGAATCTGATCTGTGTCCCCCTTGTGATGCTAGGCGTCAAGGGGGACCTGGGCGGCTCAGTCTCTCGAGCGCCCAACTCTGCTGTCAGGTCGGGTCACGACCCCAGCCAGGGTGGGGTCTGGGATGCGGCCCACGTCAGGCGCTCTGCTTGGTGGGGAGCCGGCTGCTCCCGCGCCCTCTGCCCCTCCCCCTGCTTGTGCGCTCGCCGCTCTAATAAATAAACACGAGCTTGAAAAAAAAGACGCTAACAGTTAACTAAACTTCGATTTGCTAAACGGTATGGAAATCAAGAACCAGTCCCGCGTAAACCCACGTGCAGAGAATAAAGAGACAGTCTACAGGCTGGGGGACGGCACCGGTGATGCACATGTCACAGAGGACTTGGGGCCAAGACGCTCAAGTGGGAGAAGACAAGCCAGCACCACGCAGGAAAACACACAGGCGGTGACAGGCGCGTGAGAAAGGTGCTCGGCACCCCCGCACGTCAGGGGAGTGAAGCGAAAGCTCCAGGAGGCACCACAAGCCCTGCCAAGAGGCTGCTGTGGGGAGGCCCGACCACCCTGCGTGCGCAGGGACGAGCAATGCCACCAGCCGGGCTGGTGACAAGGAATGACTGGGCCTCTCTGGCTCTGCTGGGGGAAGGTCACTGCGTACAACTGTCCAGGAAAAGAGCCTGGTAGCACCCCACACTGGACACACAGCTATCCCGGGCCCTAGGCACGCCCTGAGAGGAAGGAGTGGTTTCGCCAACAGGAGACAAAGAGCGCGCGTGTGGCTCTTATGTCATCACCCATCTAAAAAAAAGGCCGGGACGCCTGGGTGGCTCAGTGGGTCAAGCCTCTGCCTTCAGCAGGTCATGGTCTCAGGGTCCTGGGATCGAGCCCCGAATTGGGCTCTCTGCTCGGCGGGGAGCCTGTTTCCCCGCCCGCCCTCTGCCTTTCTGCCTACTCGTGATCTCTTGGTCAGGTAAATAAAATCTTTAAAAAAAAAAAAAAAAAAAAAAAAAGGTCAATGTCTATTACCAAGAAAGATGAAATATAAAATTTTAGCAGCTGCATATAACAGATACCATGACCCGATGATTTTGAAAGATTAACCTCCTTTACAGGAAGTTATAGGACAAGTACCAAAGTCTGAAGAGGCCACCGTCTGGGGTGGGTTCTGACAGGCCATGGGGACCCACGGGGCCTCCTGGTCCCGTTCCAACTCTGCTCCGGCCAGTGGTCATACAGGGACGTGGACACACGGGCACTTAGGAAGCTTTGCACACTTCAGTGGGTGCTGAGGACACTGGGAACGCCTTGGCCCGCTGCCAGTGTAGGGGAAAGCGGTCTGCAGGAGCTGTGCCTCCTCCCTGGACCCCAGGCCCCCACCCTGCTGGAGCCAGGCCATGTCTCACCTTCTTGGGCTCCCTGGTGTCTTTCCTGTTTGCCGGTGCAGGTCTCTTCACTTCTGGAGCAGACGTCGGTGGCTGCAGAGCACTGGAGCTGGCACCCTCCCCCGCCGGGGGTGCCTCGGAGTCCTGGGGCACGCCGGAGGAGCCCTGTCCCAAGGCAACATGGGAGCAGGCTCACCCAAGGCACCTCCCTGGGGGCCTTGAAAACCCCTGTGAGCGATGAGAGCAGAGCGGGGGAGGGGAAGGGACAGCAGCCCCTGCCTCCCGCCTGCTCCCCCAAGCAACTGTATTGGGGTGCACTGGGCACTACTGGGCTGGAAAAAGGGGTTTGAGTGTGTGTGTCGAGGGGATGCTGGCTGCAGACGGGGAGGAGGCATGTTAAAACAAAGACTTGTTTTTTTCAGAATACTTATAGCTGAGCGAAGACCCCGTCTTCCATAAACTCTCACTTTACGTGAGAATATTTTCACGGAAGAACGCCCAACGGAAGTCTGGCCTACGGCAAGCGCCTGTGGCGGCGTGCCCACGGAAGCCCCGGTGTGTGGAGATGCAGCTGCGGGACACACTGCGCAGAAAAGCACGTGTCCCTCCCCACTGCGGCCAGAGCAGCCGAGACATGTGGCAAGGATCTCAAGACGGACAGTGAGGTGTCAGGGATCCTACTGCAGAGAGGGGTGCAGGACCGGGGAGGCCTCTCCATTTTGCAAAAGTCATCGTCAGCAACGCAGCCTCCAGAGAGGGGCTGTCCGTGCGCCACTAAGCGGTCGAGCTCGTCGGGCCTTCCCGGCGACCCTGCGAGCAGCAAGGGCTCTCCAGCCAAGGAGCAACGAGCCACAGCTGTGCGCTCTTCCTGGTTCTCCCGTTACAACTGGAGAATAGCAAGGCTGGGCTCCTAATCAACGCAACTTAAGTAAAACAAGGAGCTTGGGGGAAAAAAGTGGGCAAGTACCAGGTTAGTAAATTTTCCACCGAAACCCTCTTCTCTCAGCTCCAGAAGTGAGCTCCTACCCAGTGCCTCCGGTAGCATCGCCCCTGTCAACAGAAGAGAGGGCCACTGTGGGCTCCGTGTCACCGACACAGGACAGGAGCTGACATGACGTACACGCGACATGGCACAGCTTCTCCCTGGCCGAGGGCCTCCCACCACGGGGCTCAGAGTCCGAGGCCGGAAAGGTTCTCGGAAACGGTTCTTTCGGAAAGCGGGGTGCACGCGGCACCTTGTTCGAGGGCACAGAGACAGGCAGGCCCACAGCAGGCACGAGAAGCCTCATGGGTCCCGCCTGCCGCCCCCGGACATCTGCTCACGCCTGCACGCCAACACGCAGCTAAGTCCCGGAGGAAGGCAGCACTGACATCCGTGAGCCCTCCAGCCTCAGCACATGCTAATGAACAAAACCTGTGTCAAGTTCAGACCACTGAAGGCTCTTCCACCGACTGCCTTCTCTGACGCCTAACCCCCCAGCTCTGCTCTCGGGCTGGCGCTCCAGCAGGCCTACCTGGGTCCTGGCTCCCGGCCTCCCGGGGCGCGTGCTCACTTTCCTGCAGAGACGGTGCACAAGGGGGCAGGCCAGGCCCCGTGTACAGAGCTGCAGGCTCACGCCCAGAGGGCTCTGGAAAGCCAAAGGCAGCCGGGGGTCCACAGCCGGGCCCCAGCTCAAGGGGGCCCGTGGCTGGGGGCACCGGGAACAACGGCACCCTGGCGGGGAGGGCCGGCTGGCTGTCGGGGATCGTCGGCGGAGCTGCACCAAAAGAGCGGGGAACAGAAGCCTGAGGTACTGGCGCGGACTCTGGGCACTCGGGGAAGCAAACAGGCGGCCGTTCGACACTTTGTCACACGTCCTCTCCCAGGGCCATGTTCTCCCATTACGGGCAAGAGAACCAGTCATCACAGCAAGAGTGCTGACAATGCCCGCTCTTCAGCCATTAGGGGAAAAGCAAAATGTACGCTTCTTAGGGACAAGGGGAGGACATCATCAAATGTCACGTGGGGCCTGGGCCCTGACTCTCAGCAAGGCCCCAGCACAACCCGGGAGCAGGGGCCTAAAAGAGAGTTCGGAGTTCACGGAGCTCTCCCCACTCCCCTCCTCCCTCTCCAGAGCTCGGCAGGCCCCGCCCTCTCGGACGGCTGCTTAAGGCCGTTAGATGCCACAGGCCCACCGAGGGAACAAGCGTGGGGAGGGGGAAGGGAAGACGCGTCCCCTCCGCTCTCCTCAGGCAGGAGGGCAGCGTTCCACCTGCGGAAGCAGCGGCGGCGAGGGGAGGGTGGGGAGGCCCGCGGCTTCTCCAGCAGCTCGGGGCTCACCTGAAGGCAGCAGCCGCACCCCCTGGCCGAGGTGCTCAGCGCTGGGCACAGGCGGCACCAGCAGCGGATTGCCGGCGCCCGGGCCCCCCGGCGGGCCGAGTGCCGGCCCATCACACGGGCCCACCTCAGAGCTCGGGGTGCTGGGACAGCGCTGGGGGAAGGTCCCGTCCCGACTCCACACCGCGGCGCCCTCCTAAGGGAGAGACAGGGCAGGCGTTCCCGAGAGCCGGACCCTCGCTGGGCCGCGCTTCAGGAGGGCCCTCCCTCTCCCGGGAGCGTGCTGACCAACGCGCACACCCCTCGAGCGTACTCTCCGCCCCTCACACGCGTGGCGTGAACACGACGGGCGTGTGAACCACTATGGTCGCAGCGTATCCGACTCCCGGCCCAAGACCGGAAGCGCCGCGCACCTTGAGCTGCCTGTCCACGCGCTGCAGCTGCGCCAACCAGGCCGGCTCCACGAAGGCCTCCTGCTCGGGCTGCTCTCGGAGCTGCGGGTCGAAGAGCCGCAGCTGGGACGCGATCTGGACACACACGGGGAGGAAAGGGCCCTGTTACTACCTGGCGTGACAAGGGACCGTGTTTTCAAAAACCACCACCACCCGGAACAAAAGGCATCTTCAGAGTCCGGTCGGAGAGCTCCCGCCACCTAAGGTGTCTGAAGCGTGTGGTGGTGACCCGGCCCAACACGTCGCTTGCACTACCCAGTTGCCGGAAGGGAGTGCGGGACCCGGACTGGCCCTGGCAAGCCCGGCGGCTGCCGCCCGTCCCCGACGCCACAGACGGCTTCAGGGATCAAAACGCTGACTAACCCGGGACGTGCACACTGACGGGCCTTGGGGGGTGCGGGGACAGGACGGGGAGGGTGCGGGACGGGGGTGTGGCGAACGCAGGGCCTGAGGAACAGCTGCCGAAGCTGCGGGAACGGGACGCGCCGAATGTTCTGTGTCCGTCCGCGGACGCCGAGAACTCCCCACAGTAACACACTCTCTCAGCTGTCATGGAAGCGCATTTCCCAGAACGAAGGTCCTGGGCGGGGAGGGTGCACTGGCCATGTGCACCGGCCGCTGACCAGCCTTGTCCCACGCGCGCCTCCCCCGCTCCCGCAGGCCGCGCGCACGGCGTCTGTTTTACGGAGCGAGACGTCCTGGACGTGCCGTCCTTCTCCCCTTGAAGCTACGGCCCAGCTTCAGTCGCGGGCTGAGGTCCCCGAAAATTCAAAACACCCACTCCCTGCCCAAGGACGCCTGAATTTCTCAAGCTGCTCAAGAAGTCCCCAGCATCTACATGGTCACCCCTCAGTGCCCGAGCGCAGGGATCGGCTGCCGCCGGGGCGTCCGAGAACCCGTACCTGAACCAGCTGGCTGATGAGCACGGGCGAGTGCTTGTGCGGCTGCAGCAGGACGCTCTTGGCGATCACCTCGCAGTAGTGGAAGGCCTGCGTGGCCAGCCCCATTTCAGCCAGGCGGCAGGAGTAGATGAACTTGAACACCTGGGACCAGGGAGTGTAGCACGGTTGTCCTGACACGCCTCCCAGCCCCCGTGTCACCCAACAGCCCCGAAGCAGGCGCTACCCCAACGCCCAATGCGCCTCACGTGTGCCCCACGGCCACCCAGCAGCACAGAGCCCCTCCCCAGAGGACTTCTCATGAGAGCTGCAACTAAGCTTCTCAGAAACTCCCTCTTCCTCTTTAGCACACTTTGTAGGCTTGTGACGCAGGGCTCGTCACCACAGCGCCCTGGCCAGCCAGCAGCTAGCATGGTGGGAGAGCCATCCCCACAAACCCTGCACTACAGTGTTTACACCCACGATGCTGCAAACCGTGCAGAGGAAGCACTGGAAACCAAACACTCGGGAAACGTTTTAAATGCTAAGAAAATCCTCAGTTCGACAGGACTTCTCAAGAGGTACAGATCAAAGGACTCCCCAGGATTTCCAAAAACTATCATTTTGGGGGGAAGAGCTCAAAAGCCCTCAGCAAACAAACATTTGCTAGCACTGACCGCCCACTTGTTCAAACCGTGGGCCGGCGTGGCCCTCGCTCACCTGGAAATTGGGGAAGGAGCAGGTCTGCGCCCCGAGAGACTGGGCGTACTCATAGGCTTCTGTCCTCTGAATAGCTTCATTGGTTGCAAACTTTAAAAATGGCAAACTGTTGAAAAAAGAAATAATTTCAGTGTCCAGACAAGGCACCCAGAAGCACGTCACACCACGTGACCAACAGCACACCACCAAGACGGGAGGCTGCCGCTGCCAGGCGCGTGCGCTGTTTCTGGGTCAGCTCACGGAGGAATGCTTCCTTTCTAAAGGAAAACAGACACCTCGACGGTCCTCACCTGTGGTTCGATCCAATTAAGACAAGTTTTGTGGTTTTCTTTGTGTAAACCCCCAATTCGATCTGGGCCATGAGGTAGCAGAAGTGCGCGGCATCTAAGAGACCTTTGGAAGCTGAGGAGACATACAGCAGGCCAGGGCTCAGGAGCTCTGAGTTCTCCCAAAAACCTCAACACACGGACAGCAACCACCAGAAGGGCTACACGAGTGGCAAAACCCCGTGGCCCTCCACACCCCGACAGTGGCTCTCACGCCCGAGCGTGTCAGGCTCCCCGACCTCCACGCCCACGCCTGACCTACCCAGAGTGTCGCCCATGGTGGCCATCGCCCTGGACTCCACATCCACGTTGCTGCTCAGATTGGACAAAACCATAGCAAGATGAGGCCTCCAATCACCCCACTTCTCGTCTCCACAACACTGAGGTCAGAAAAAAGCCAAACAAACAAACCCTTATCCTCAGAAGAGAGCGCCACTTTTATCTCGTCACAGGTGAGATCCAAGAGTACAGCGCGGAGCCGGGACAAGAGAAAGTGCAGGCCTTGTGGCCCAGGAGGCCAGCTCTCACGAGAGTGAGCCGGGAAGCCAGGCCACAGGGACCCTGGGGAGCCCCTGTTCACTGACCGTGGACGCAGCAGGCATCCGCCCTGACATCAGCTGGTACACTGTCTGCAAAGGGTCATTGATTGGAAGACTGTTGGCGAACCTAGGCAGACACAAGGAGAGAAAAAGCTAAGTTGGCCCTGTTTTTTATTAAACTTTTTTTTTTTTAATTTTATTTATTTATTTGACAGGCAGAGATCACAAGTAGACAGAGAGGCAGGCAGAGAAAGAGGAGGAAGCAGGCTCCCCACGGAGCAGAGAGCCCGATGCGGGGCTCAATCCCAGGACCCTGGGATCATGACCTGAGCCGAAGGCGGCGGCTTAACCCGCTGAGCCCCCGGCGCCCCAGTTGACTCTGTTTAAATGACAAGCAGAAACAAGGCCGGTTTCATTTTGGTCTTTTGATGACTGTCGGGGGCCTGACCCAGGCACAGTGTACAAAAAGCCCAGCATTTCAACAAATGAACTGAGAAAGACTAAAGAATTCATGGTGGTTTCACAGAGCGTAGAGAACTCTGTGGTAAAAAACGTTTACAAGGCCCTCAGCAGTACAACCGCAGGGAAGAGGGCCCAGCATGCCCACGCCAGTGTGACACAGCCCGGTGCAGGGGACCCGCCCCAGCTTTCTAAGACAAGCCCTGCAGGTCACGGCGCTTCCAAGAGCTGACCAGGCAGCACGACTAGGCCAGCAGGACGTGCCCAGAAATAGTCTACACAGCAAGATTCTCTACCTGGTCATAACGCGGGCGTGTGTCCGGCTGTCCATCTTACTTGCAAGCAGCAGAGCGTGACCCCATAAGGCGTTTTTCATCGCAGACTCTAAAGCATCCTGCAAAGCATGTCAGTGGTTACCCACGTCCCCAGACCTTCAGTGACGTGCACAAGCGGAAGCCACACCCGGGGGTCGTCACGCATGGTGGGCGGCGGGGGCAAGGGACCGGAGCGCACTGAAGGAGTGCGTGAGTCACAGGCCCGCCAACACACGCGCCCGGTTCAGACACGAAGCAGCAGCCCGCTTTTCCCAATCTGCCCGAGCTGGAAAGTCGCTGCGGCCCCGAGTCTGCGAAGGCCCGTGCTGCTGGGTCGGCTGCCCAGAGCCAGCGTTCCGGAGCAAGCACCCGGATGAGGAACAAGGACAGGCGAGCGGCGGTCCTGCTGCCTCCGACTGTGCCCTCCACGATGACCACCTCCACACGGATGGAGCCTTTACTAACACAGACCCCCCGCGTCCAGAATCATCTAGGGTAGCACTCAGAGGACAGCGTCTTCACAGAGATGGACGGCTCACAGCAGAAGGAAACGTTGAGCAAAGCTGACAGATCCCACAGCTCCGATCCGTTGTAAAACGCCCACATGAAAACGGTTTATTTACCAAATATGAGCTTTCCAGCTGCCATCACGAGATCAAAGTACCAAGAACTCTGGGCCCACAAGACCCCAGCCGCCAGAGCGCAGGCGCGGCCCTCGCTCCGGGCTGCACAATCTTGGGGAGCTTCCCTCCGTGGCCAGGGCTTGGCGCTGGGCCACTGCGGGGCACCCCCCCAGCACCTGCACCGCTGAGGTGACAGCGAGGGCATGCCTAACCGTGCGAGAACGGTTTGACTTCAGTCCGCTCATGAGTCTGTCCGAGACGTGTACACAGCACAGGCGAATCTCCGACCCCGGCAACCCTCGGAAGACGGCTCTGCTGCAGGAGCAGACACACCGGACTCCGCAGACACTAGCCCCGGGTCGCAGTCAAGGTGCCACCGCTCCCGAGAGCAGGACCGCACACGCTAGGGCCCACCTGGGGACCCCAGGGGCTCGCGGCCACTCACTTTCTTGCGGCCGTACAGCAGCAGCTCCCGGAACCTCTCCGTCTCCTTCTCGAGGGTGTTGCTGCCGGCAGCCTGGTTGTCAGTGAGGAACGAGAGCTGGGCCTCCCCGGACTCCTCCTCCTCTACCTGCTCCACAGCCTCGTTAGTAAAATCAATCAGGTTGGCCTCGTTGGGTGACTTTCCGGGAAGCCACACGGTTTTGTGGTCTCGTAACAAAAGCTCGGCGAGGTCTGTTCCCACCACGGTCTGCAGGGGCCACAGGGGCAGAAGGAGATCAAAGCACTTCACTCCACACAGAACTTCCTGTGGCAAGGGGTGGGGGTGGGGGCTGGTCCAGGTCAGGTGAGGCCCTGAACAGGACTCCTCAGGTGAGCACCTTCCCCTCAACTCCACGTCCCGGGGCGTAGCCAGGAGCAGGAGGGACAGACCGCAGATGACCGGACAGAGGCGGACCTGAACCTCCCTTCACCCCAAACCCCACGCCCTGGAATTCCACTTCCCCAAAGCACCACGAGGACAGTCTCCCTGAGCGAGTCACCAACGGAAACGTACCCCGTTCTGTCTGCACAAGAGAACAATGAAATTCCAAAGGAGACTCGCAGACTCTTTGTCAATTAAACTCTGGTTCTGCAAACAGTTTGTAGCTTTGCTCTGTGCGAAATTAATAACATCCGCTTTATGGGTGTCATCCCTGCAAGAAGGACACACGCTCCGTGAGCAGCGACACCCACGTCTGCGAGGCAGGCCCAGCGCAGCAGCCGCCTCCGCGCGGACGCCAAGGACGCTTCGGCGGGGAACGTACTTGCCGAGCGGGCCCGGGAACGAGCGCAGCTCCTCCTGCTCCGGCGTGTGCTGCAGCAAGGTCTGAGGCGGGCGGAGGGGTGCAGAGAGAGAGCAGCTCGCGGCGGGTAGGTGCACAGCGACGCCCGCCCGTGCCCGCCAGCTGCACTGGCTAAGTTCCCGGCGCCGTCCCTGCCCGCCCCCCGAAGGTGTGGGCCTGTCTGCTGTCCCACCGTGATTTTCAAACTCTCTCTGAAGCACTTAGAACCAGGTCTCCCCTCCAACGGGGGCAGGGCCCTCACGTGTGCTCAGAAGAGGCCTGCCAGGGCCGTGGAACAGGGCCCCCCACCCCACCTGCCACCAGATCACAAAGCTCCTCTACCCATGACCAAAAGCCACAAGATGAACACAAGCAGGGTCCTCCCTGCCAAGCCAGAGACACGAATAAAGACAAAACAAATCTGCAGTGGAACTAAGTCGAAGGTGACACCCGCCAGGTGCTCAGTGTCCCGCCCTCTGACAGCAGGAACTGCCCAGCACAACACAACCACCACGAACCAGACTCGGGGGAAAAGAGCATCTTCCAAGGTCACTTCCTCAGAGCACAGTCCCGTGACGCAGTTTCCACTCACGTAATTACCTCCATGCTGTGAATTTCAACCAGTGCAGGCTGTCCTTCCGAGGGCAGATTTGGGATCACTTTGATGAGCTGACCCCCGGGCCCGAACCTGGCACAGACGTGAGGCACTGAGAACTTCTCCGGAGAAGTTGGTCTCGACGGAGCTACGTTTAAATAAAGTGAGAAACAATCAGCTTGTCACTTTTTACTGCTTTTGGACCAATTCGACAGTACGGCTTTTCCAAGTGCCCACACGGCTGGCGCCCCAGGTCGGACTGATGACGACCTGCCTTTCAACCGCAAGGCGACAATTATGAAACATCCCGTCAAAAAGGAGCACTTAGGGGGCGCCTGGTGGCTCAGTGGGTTAAAGCCTCTGCCTTCGGCTCAGATCGTGATCCCAGGTTTGTGGGACTGAGCCCCACATCGCGCTCTCTGCTCAGCAGGGAGCCTGCTTCCCCCTCTCTCTGCCTACTTGTGATCTCTGTCAGAAGAGTAAATAAAATCTTAAAAAAAAAAAAAAAAAAAAAAAAAGGAGCACTCAGGTGTGTGTCAGAAAATGTTTCAACTGTTAAAAATGAGAACTATTCTCTTCTGGAAATAAAATTCCTATAAAACAGCCCCGTGAGTCGAGCACAGACTACTCGGAAGCAGTGTCTGGCCGCCGGCTGCCAGAGGCCCCACCGGAGCGTCCATGCCCCCAGCTCCTCCTTCAGAGGCCGGCCCCCGGCAGTGACGAGCACGGGGCACAAGGACAACGACGGCTGATGCCTGAAGTGCAGAGATTTGCACAGGAGCTGACACACACCGCTGCATCAATGGCTCCCAGGAAAAGCATCTGATGGATCATCTCCAAGAGGGGCTGAGAACGTGGCACAGGTGACAAGTCCATGCACAGGAGCTTTGCATGGGAATTAGGAGTTTCCCACACAAACTACTTACCCAAGCGGCCAGCACCGGGAAACAGTACGGCCGCACCCAAGAGGCTGGCAGGGAGCCGGTCCTCAGAGCCACACTGACATGGCTACTATGGACAGGCTGGGCAGCTCTCGGCCGCTGTGACAAGCTCTGGGACTCACAGCAGTCCTTATTCTGCACAGAAGACCAGGCCACGCCATTGGCAATTCCCACGAGCTGAAATCCATTCCCTCCACTACCCTACGCTTGCAAGGCTACCCTGGCAGTGTGACTCGACCTCCCTCTGCACCTGTGCGAGCACAGGGTGCCGCGCGCACACACATACCTTGCTCCGTGGTGGGCCAGCCCACTTCGGCAGCGTAGCTGTACTCCGGGAAGCCCTGGCCACTGCCAAAATTACTGCCATAGGTGCTGTAGGCATAACCGCCAGGCAAGGAGCCGGGAGGAGGCGGGGCCTCATAGGGAACGGCAGCCACACTGTGATTTCTGTAAATCTGACTCTGGGAAAACATAAGGCAAACAGGAAAAATCAACTCCTGGGAACACAGGGGGCTCAGGCATGAGGTCACGTGTGAAGGGACGGGGAGAGGCCCCCACCTGATGCGAGTGGGAGCTGAAGCTACTGCGCAGACTCTGGGCTGAGCGCTCGCTGTGCACACTGTGCCTGTCCGCCTCTTCCCCGTAAGGATCCCTGTGGGGCTCGGGGTCGTCGTCAAAACTGCCCGTGAAGCGAGGGTCGTACCTCCAGGGGTCATCGTACCTCTCGGACCTGCTGGAACCAGGGACAGAGGCGAGGAAAGAGAACAGTGGGTAGGTGACGCCAGGATGACAGCCCTTTGCCACCCAACAGCAAGCACCACGTCGTCACCCCCCGTGGGGATCATGACCCTTAAAAGACCAGTCAGGCCCTACCCTCGGGAGAGCGGCCACATCCCAAGCCCAAGTTCAGATCCCTGCCTTCAGATCTGGATAAACCTCCTTCAAGTTCGTGCTGCGTGCAGCCGTGCCTCTCCCAGACCCAAGAAGAGGAGGAGCCGACTTCCAGCACCTGTGCTGAGGCCAGTTCCCCTCCGACAGCCCAGGTGGGAACTGTCAGCAGGGCCTGGTTCTCTTTCACACAGGGGCCCCAGCGTCAGCTGCTCACCAGGATCCCAAACACAACAGCAACTCGGGTAACTGACAGACACGAGGGCAGAGACCAGGAGCGAAGCTCTGAGTACGAGCAGCCCTTCTCATCAAGTGAGCTGTACCAACCTGTCGCCGTAAGCATAGCTCTCTTTCCTGTACGCATCGTATCCAGCGTCATACCAATACCTCCGGTCACAGGTGCGGGGATCCCTGAATCTGGAACCATAGTGGTACCGGTCCCAGCGACCTGGGTCTGTAAGCAGGGGATTCATGGTTTATGACAACAGGAGAGAGAAGACAGTCCTCAGAAAGCCGAGCCAGAGAAACCACACCACCCCAAGACTGAAGAATGCCTCCAGGCTCTTAGAGGAACCCAACTTTCCTCCCCAAAATCAGCATGACCTTGGAGACCATTAACTGTGAGACCCGGGTGGTGTCCCGCCTATACGCGTGACACCTGCTGGCCACTGGGTGTTCTCTCCACACACGATTAAAAACCCGCTAGAAGACATCTCTGTTAAATTTTACTCGTAGTCACGACTTTTTAACACTTAATCCCATGACTACAAATTTCCCTTACATGTCTTCTAACATGACCTAGGAAGTTTTTAGAAATATTCCAAAACTAAAAAATTGAAAACGAAAACAAAAACGTGTTAACATTATAAACTAGATGTGCCACTTTCGGCAGGTGTGAGTGGACTTTAAGTTTCCAACGGTACAAACACAGGAGGGAAAGAGGCCTGTGGGAAGCAGCAGACGGGGTGGCCGTGCCGGGACACCCAAGAGGCTGTGGGCCCTGGACCCTTCCCAGCACCACACAGTAGGGAGAGGCAGGGCCGCTGATGGGCACGCGAGGCCCAGCGGGAACACGCCAAGACCAGCAGGCAGCACCTGGTGCAGCGGGGACATCTGACGTCTGCACCATACAAGTAGGAGGCCCCTGGCCACGGGAGGCCACTGGCGTACCAGACATGGCCAGTGCGACCCAGAAGCTGGTGTCCCACTTTATTTATTTTAATCAGTTTAAGTAACCACGTAAAGACAAGGCTGCTCTGGAACTACTCATCACCACGCTTTGCTAGAAAGTCAAAGGAAACGACTAACGTGATAGAGACATTAACGCTAGAATCGAATCATCATTTCCTAATGAAAAACAGCGACATAAGTATTTCCAGACACAGCTAACTTTCAACTACTTTTGGCTCCTGGATTAAAAACACACGAAACTAACAAGGGGAACGGTCTCCTGAGAAATGATCGCAGAGCACAGAAAGCACCGGGCCGCGCCCACGGGGCCGCGGAGAAGCCCGCGCGCACCTGCATACTCATACTGGCCGGAGTAGTAGTCCGCATAGTGGTCACTCTGGCTGCTCCATCCGCTTTTGGAGGCGTAGTAACCTTCGGGGTACTCTTGCCTGAAAGCACACAACACCATTAAACCAACCCGCCTACTCGCTTCTGAGACGAGGCTGGGACGTCGGGCCACGCACTCGACTGCGCGGCGTCGGCGCCCACAAAAACACGTGCTGGAAATCCCAAACAGTCACGGGGAGAGGCCGGGACCCCCTCCCACACGGTTCATTAAAATTCTTCTCTTGGGGCGCCAGCGTGGCTCGGTCGGTGAAGCGTCTGCCTTCGGCTCAGGTCATGACCCCAGGGTCGTGAGATCGAGTCCTGCATCGGGCTCCCTGCTCGGCGCAGAGGCTGCTTCCCCTTCTGCCTGCTGCTCCCCTGGCTTGTGCTCTCTCTCTGACAAATACACAGAATTTTAAAACCCCCCTCTGGAGTACCTATTTAAGCGCCACACGGCATCCACGAGCCGGCCACCCTCTGTGTGCTCAGCACTGTGCCCTGCAGGCCAAGGCTCAAACCTATTCTCAGGTCTCTAGAATCGCACTCAGTGGGAGCAAAACGCCCTGAGCCATCAAACCCACACACACAGACCACGTGCCGCGTCCTCTGGACGCATGACACTGTGCATCCAGGTGCAGGGCTGTGGCTGGCTTAGCCCCTGGCATGGACCTCTTAAAAGTGACTGTTGTGAGGCCGAAAAGGTGCCTGATGGAGGCCGGCCTCACAGACCAAGCTACTAGTCTGACTCAGCGCACAGAAAGCAGAACGTAGTGATGTCAGCTGTCAGATCTTCCAGAGCGATTCCTTTTTGTTCCCTCCAACAGAATGAGAGCGCACATGCACGAGGTGACTGGGAGGACGGGGGAGGGGCGGGGGGGGGGGGACAGAATCCCAAGCAGACTCCACACCCAGCCCAGAGCCCTATAGGGGGCTCGATCTCACAACCATGAAATCAAGACCTGAGCCAAAATCAAGAGCTGGACGCTGAGCCGACTGAGCCGCCCTCCGGGGTAGTTGGACTCTCAGGAACACTTACTAGCGTTTGTATTTATTAATAACAAGTTTTAGACAATATTTGATATTTAAAATGTGACTTTTCTCATGGTTCTTCAGGAATGTCTCACTCAGCTGAGGCCGGGCGGCCCAGGAGGAGCACCTGCTCCCATGGCTCAGCTGTAGGAACAAGGCCCCTTCCCAGGGCTTTGGAGGAGAACCTTCCACTCCACCCATCTGCAGAGTGGGGGCCCCCAAGGGCACCAGTGGTGGGCTCAGAATAATGACCTGACACAGGGCAGAACCAAGAGCACACCACCTCCTCGCTGCCCTCACCAACCAAGCCCATTCATCCACCAGCAAAGATAGCCACAAAAATGAAAGACACGTTCGTGCAGGGACGTGCTCACGCCAGGCACGAGTACATATGCACATGCACACACATCTGCCAACCAAAGCAGGGCAGGAAGGACAGGCTGCTCTACGGAGCCAGCACAGGAGAGCAGTGAAGACAACAGGAGGACAGAGACACTGTGAGATGGGACGGGACCACTCCTGTGCAACCTGGCCCAGCCTCTGGTTGGGTGACTTTTAAGGGCATGGGGCCACCTTCAGAGTCTCAGAATGAGGTTCCATGTTAACCTGCAGGTGGGCAAGCAGACAGGAACCGGGATGGCGAGATGTACCCTGGCCGTGCCCTCCTCCATGCCTACGGGGTTCTAGGAATCACTTGCCCGCGGCTTTCCCTGAGTCAGAATACTTAACCTCAAACCTCTCCTTCCAGGTGCTTATCCAAGAGCTAACCCCTCGGGAACTCTCTTACATAAGTTCCTAGAAGGCTGGGCCATGTGCAGGTCAGTGGTGCACGGAGAGGGCAGCTCAAAAGGCAAAGGCTCACGGAGACAGAACCTCATCTGCAGACAAGCTATCAAGGACCCCAAGGACCAGCAACAGGACCCCAAGATTTTGAAAGGGAGCGCACGCATGAGGTCTCTATCAGCGATCGGACCTCCTCTATTACAAGTTCAAGAAGCCACGTACTCCGGTAGCAAAACCTACCCCCGACTCATACCCCCCTAACCTGACGATGGGCGAGCATGGGGGAAGGCTCTGGAAGGCAGGCAGCAACACCGCACTGGGAACAGGCCTGCTGCTCCTTGTGGCTCTACCCGCGGCTCTGAGTGGGAGCCCCGGGACCCGCTGAGGTCCTGCTTGGCTAAGTCAGGGATCTTTCAAAATCCCTCATCCAGGCGCACCTGGGAGGCTCGGCTGGTTAAGCATCCGACTCTTGATCTCAGCCCAGGTCACGATCTCAGGGTCATGAGGTCAAGCCCTGCGTCGGACTCCACGCTCAAGCAGGAAATCTGCTTGAGATTCTCCCTCCCCCTGCCCTTCCCTCTGCACTCTTGCTCTCTCTCAAATAAACAGACCTTAAGAAAAGAAAGAAAGAAAGAAAGAAAGAACCCCTCATCTATAATCCCACAGCCGAGATGTGCCTGGTCAGCAAGAGAGAGCAGGACAGAGGTGTGCGGGGGCCTCCAGCACAGGGGGCAGCGCTGGGAAAGGGACGTGGACAGGCGTCCTGGCCGAAGAATCAAGCACGTCTGTGATTAGAGGCGCAGCAGAGGCTCAGTGCGAGGGCAAAGCTGCCACGGTCTAAGGGCCCCGAACACCCCGGCAGCCGAACGCCAGAGCCGTGCGTGCCTTGGCAGTGGGGTGACCAGCTGGCCCCGAGAGGACCCCGCCGAGGGTCTGCCCGCCCCAGTGCTGGCTGACCGCACAGCATGGCCGCAGGGGAGGGCTTTGTCCCATTCCAAAGTGCCCGTGCGCTCTGGCCGTGCCGATTACACACAGAAGAAACACGCCGATACAACTCTTCACGAGCGCCGTCTTTCCCAGGGCACCGCGTTACTCCCACAGCCAGGACCACGGGGCCCATCACCTGGCAGGCGGCCGGTCTGAGCAGTGACTTGCTCGGGAGCTGGGTCGCTCAGGCTCGGAGTAGCGGTAGTTCTCAGCGTAGGCAGACGCCGTGCTGTCGTAGGACCTGTACCTGGGCTCATACAGGCCGTAGACGTCCTGCTGGAAGAAGGATGTGCGTAACATCAGAGACCAGTAAAGAGACAACGCATCAAGCCACTGGCACCAGCTCTAAATGGCACCGGGGATGGCCCTCCAGGAGAAGCACTGGATGTGGGGCTTCCTTCATGCAAAACAGAAAGCCTACAGTCCGAAAACTGTGGCCGCCGGTGGGCGGCAGGATCCTCCTCAAAGGGACCGTCCTGGGCCTGCTCAGCAGATGGCCAGTGTGTCAGTGGGCAGCCCCTACAGAGCCACGGAGACTCTAGAGGGCCCCACTGGGCTTCTGGTCCCCGAGGTCTCGAATGTGGAGGTGCTGTGACCCCCCAAGTTTGTGCTGTTTCAGATGCCATCTTAGGTAAGCAAACTCCCCAGGGTCCCACCTCAGTGTGTCCCCGAGCTCCAGGAAGCCTTCCAGAGAGGATCACGTTTTCCTCTCCTGAGGCTTTCAGCCCCATTACAGACCGATGAACGGCCACGGCTCTGTCTCTAAGGGGCGGCCGTGCGAAGACCGGGGGCAGGAATGAAGCGATCCCGGCAGGAGATGGAACCAGCCCTCTGGGCTACGAGCCTGACTCTCTGCCATCACCCGGCAAAAGAGGAGGAATCACGTAAAACGGACTTATTCCTGACCACTGCTGCAGGCTGCGGCGACAAGGCTGGAGGGCACCAGGAAGCAGGCTCCCAGAGGTGACGCCGGGCTCTGGCTGGAGCTCCCGGGACGCACACGTAGCCGCTGCACAAAGGACCCAAAGCAGGTACGCTGGCCCCCTCACACTCTGCCAGCCCCCCGGGCTCTGGGCGCACTGGAAGTCAATTTCCATGTGTGGCAACAGGAGTCCTACGGGCTCCTTCCAGAATTTAGGATTTGCTGCTCTTGGTGGTTAGCTGTGCGCTCTTCATACATTCCCAAAGATGCTCAAAGCCCACAAAGGAGACCCAAGCCTCCTGTCACTGGGGGCTGCCGCCTGGCCCAACCCCATCCATCTCTGACTACGAGAGCCCAGGATGGCCACCCGCCCCTGCCCAGGAGGACCGTGCTTTCCAAACCTCTAGCCCACACTCCTTTGAACTCGGCTAACCTTGGGTGATGCTGGGCTGGGACTAGACGTGATGAGATAGACAGCGATCCAATGTTTGTGCTCGAAGCACGCGCTTCAGAGCAACACAGGCCGGGCAGAACCCAACCGCAGCAAGGTTCACGCGCCGGGACATGCCACCGTGAAGGCTGAGGCTTCCGCACAGCACAGCAGCCGCCCCCACCCCGCTGCTGGGGCCACCGGACGCCTCAGAGTCTATGGCATTTCATCCCCCGTGGCTGTTTCACTAGGATGACATTCCAGACCTAACTTTTACCTCTAAATATTTTTATTCTCAAAGAGGGACCTCAAAGACTACACGTCCCTGCGACTCGCCAGGTAGGTGTTTCACGCCAAAACCACGCTGAAGCTCGCAGGGGCTATCCCGGTTTCCCAAAGCTTCTCCACAGAGAAGCCGCCGCTGGGACAGGAGACAGACGGCTTCTCAGCCATGGGAGTTGGAGGATACCGTGTGAAATAAATAATCAGGTACCCCTTACGATGCAATACACAGCCGTGCAGAGTAAACTCCCAAGAGACGGGCCGCGTTGGGCATCTGTGAGAGGCACGCTTGTCCCCCGCCACGGTGCCTGGAGCCAGCACTCGGCACGGTGGTGGCACTATGGGTTACTTCCGAACCGAGCAACAGAAGCCCACCATGGCCCACAACTCAAGAGAAAGGAACCACTGGTCGCAAGGTTCAAGTGCGAGAGCTTGATCGTACCTGGTAATAGAGGGGGGCCGCGCCAGGCTCCAGCGGGTACGGTGAGGGGTAAGGGGACTGGTAGCCATCGTACAGCGGTCTGTAATAGTAGTAAGACGCCAAGTCTGGAGCAGGCGGCTGTAGCCAGTGCTGGTCTGACCGCACGGCTGCCTGGCTCGAGCTGGCGGACACGGCCGATGCGCTGGAGGACCGAGGCGGCCGGGGTGGCAGCGGCTGACCTGTGTCAGCCGGAGCTGGACTTGGGGGTGGTGGGACCGAGTTTTGGGGCTGTCCCTGCACAGGTGGACTTCCTGGGTCTGAAGGTTCTGAACATGTAGGTTTGGGCCCTTGTGGAGGAGGCGGTGCTGGCTCCTGCTGGGCTCTCTCGAGGCCACGCTGGTCCTGAGTGTCTTTCATCACCTGTTGGTAGAAATGGTCTGAGTTATGTGGCCCTGGCCCAGGTGGCCTCGGATGACTGCTGGCGGCGTGCTGACACGCGGAGCCGTCAGAACGGGGTGGGCTATACACTCTTAGAGGACTTTCCAAAGTCCTACTGAGTGTGAAGTCTAGGGCTCCAGAAGTTTCTTCTCGATGACTGGAGCGATCTGCCTTATGACCAGCGGGTGCCGTGGCAGTGTTCGCAGGCGGCACCAACGTCACGCCTGTGCTTCCAGCAGGGCCACTAACCAACTCGGGAAGACCGTTCTCTGCGTTGTCAGTATTTTGGCTTTCTGAAACCAAGTTCTTTGGAACTGGATGAGGTGGTGGCTGAACCAGCGAAGTAGCAGGTTGATTAGAAACTATTTCTGAAGTACCAGGAACTTGTGGAAAACCACTGTGCGCAAAATTGTTAGGCAAAGGCGAGCGGGTGAGAGGGCCGGCTGTGTTCCCAGACATAGGGGCGCTGTCTCCAGAGTCCCCCCCCAGAGCCCAGCTGCTTGCTGAGGGTTTATCCCCGACCAAAGCATCTCTCCAGGGCTGATTCTTCTCATTAGGACTCGGTAAGGACACAGAAAAATTAATGGGCTGAGCCAAATTATAGCTTCGATCGGGCTGGGCAATCAAGACTGGTGGGTTCTGCAAAGATTCAGTGGGTGGCGAGGATAAGAGACTGGCATAGCCAGAACTTGCCTGGGATGGGAGGGCCTCCTCTTCTCCCATCTTGGGAGGGTTCTCGAGGTTCTCAGAAGCACCAGTGCTGTCCCCACTCTGCAGAAGGCCGGAGCCTGGCTGCCGGGACTGCGGAGCGGACACGCCCTCATCCGGAGGCTGAATCACTTCCGACGGCTGCGGTTTCACAGGCACGTGCAGCGCAGGAGCAGCTGGAGCTAGAAGGACGTTGCCTCCAAAATCTGGCAACTCGTTCTGCGCCCACAACGTCGTCACTGGGCTCTCACACTTCACAACCCCCTGGCTTCTGGCCAAAGGCCTTTTCTCGGCTGCCAGGGGCAGAATTTCCAGGGGTGGTCCCCCGGTGTGCACGAGCCCGTGCCCCGGCTCCGCAGGTACAGAAAAGGGGGTAGAACAGGCCTGGAGCATGAACAGGGTCTCCATGTTGTCCGGGGGCTGCTCCAGGTTGCCGGGGGAGGTGTCAGGCGGGGCAGCAGCGGGTCTGCGCTGCTTCTGGTGGGCAATGGCCCCTCTCACCTCACCCACCATGTTGGCGCGATCGGCCTCGATGGGTTTGACTCCAACTAAGTGGGATTTCACTGGTTCAAAAGAACTATTTGCACTTGTCTGAAATATTCCAGTGGGTTTTGGGGGACTTGGGGTTGAGGGCTGGGACAGGCTGCCGTGGTGACTCTGGTTCACAGTGGTCTCGTCTGTCTCTCCTCCCACGGGAGAAGAATCAATTTGCTTAAAAAAACTCCCTGGAGACTCATCTTCAGGTTTTCCAACTTCCTGCTGAATGAAAGTGCCTACATCTTGGGGCCTGGCTACACTGGGGAGATTCCTGTGGCTCTTGCCGCTGTAACCGGATGACACACTATCAGACCGCACGGGGTGCGGCGCTGAATCTGGGGCCTCGAGATTTGGGCCCCCACCCCCAGAGTGGCCCACAACGCCGAGCCTGGGAACTGCTGGCCCGGGCAGGGGCCCATATCTGACCTGATCGCTGGGGGAGGAAAGGTCCAAACTCTGAGGCTCACTTGGCAGAACTTCCTGATTCTGAATGAATTCAAGGTCTTCCACGTTCTCAGACTGCGAGCTGCTGGCCGCGTGCACCCCTGCGCCGGGTGTGCCACCCCACGCGGTCACGGGAGCACTTGCCGCGGTGGGGTGGTCAGGCGGGGCGCCTGCGGTCTGATAAAAGTAAGGTTGCGGGTGTCCTCGCTGCTGCGTGGCCTCGCTGTTGGAACCTCTGGGAAAGGCCTGGTAGATGCCGCCTGCTCCCATGTGTGCAGGAGGGTGACCAAGTGCGAGGCTGGGGGAGAAGCCACCGAAGTCAGACCGACCAGCAGAGCCGGTGTTTTCGGATGAGAGGTTCTCCTCATTTTCTGCCTCCCCTCCTTGGAAAAACATGGAGAGCGCCCCGGAGTCTGCTTCTGACAAGGCTTGACTGGTCCCGGCCCCTGGGGGGCAGTGCAAATGGCTTTCTGGGCTATTACCCTGAGTGAGGGGATTACTGAGAGCAAGGTCCGGCAACTGCTCTTTGTTCACTCCTGGATTTGGCCTGAGCTCCTGGCTTGCCCGAATATTCCCAGCTTTAGAATTTTGCCTGAACACATTTTCAGGATCAAAGTTATTTGCTGAACGGTTTCCACTTTGCAGGCAGGCCGCCTCGTTGCTTCCATCACTGGCTAAGGGTCCTGGCAAAGACACCAGCGGGTTGAGCTGCTCGTGGCTGGGACCATGATGCAGGGTAGACGGAGCAGGGAAGTGAGAAACGCTGGAGGCGTGGGGCAGCGCACTCTGAACAGGTCCTTCCGGGCGGGGCCAATAATGTTGACCTGAGGGTTGTGCGCCTCCCTGCCCTGCTCCCCAGTGCCCTGGCATTTGCTGACGAGGCTGAGGGAAGAACGGAGATGGTGCTGATGCCGTGGCACTGTCGTGTGGGCTCTGCCTACTCAGGGGCCTATCGGGCCCAAGCGTGTTCATGTGTGGATGGCCCCCGTGAGGACTGTCTGCACCCGCTCCTGGAACGTACTGAGGATGTGGCAGAGTCTGAGCTTCAGGTTCTGAGCTGGGAGCCACCGCGGCACTCTTGTTCCCCTCGGGATCCGATGGTGCCAAAGGGGTCAGCACGCTGGAAAACAGACTGCCATCTGCTCTGGGCTGCGACATTGGTCCTTGGGGGGTATCCCCGGTATTCGTGTGAGCTGCAGGCAGACCAGGGTGCTGAAGGAACGCTGGTGGGGCCGGGCCTTGCGGAAGGGGTGGGCTGCTTTTGGACAAACTGCCCAACGATGTACTTTGTAGCGCCTGTCTACTAAAAGCAAACGGATCCGTCACGGGCTGCAGCGGGCAGGTGATCGGAGTTCCGGGTGCATTATTATTTGCCTGTCTCCTGTACGGTCTGTTGGACCAGAACATGCTCTGAGGAGTCCCAGCTGGAGGTGGCCCAACCATGCCCGACGGGGCTGCCTGCGGCGGCGGCTGCATGACTGATCTCCTGCACAACTAGATGCTGCTTACAGAAAGAAGCAGGATATAGGTTTTCCTTAATCTGAACGGAAAAAGACAAAGAAGAAATTAGCATAAAATCCATATATTCAAATTCCCAGACAGAATTAGGAAAACTAAAAAAACAGAGAGAGGCTGGAAACCACTCAAGAGTCTGCGGCTTTGGTCCCCGAGGCCTGCTGTCCCTGCTCCCACCCCCTCCCGCCCAGAACTGCAGCCTGGAGGGGCTGCTGCTGCTGCGAGGGTCGCTGAGTGCGCAGGCCAGAAGGCAGCAACACCAGCCCGGGATGCAAACGCAGGCAGGCCGCACCCGGAGCTCCCTGACTTCACACAAGTTACTGCCTTCTCTGCGGCTCGTAACCCAGCTGAATACCCGCGTGGAATGCCCGATGCCTCCGCGACACCCTCACCGAGCAGGCAGAGATGAGATACAACTACACTGCTGGTCTCACCACCAGGTATGATGGTTAACTCCCCAAATGACCACCAGACCCCGAAAGAGCCTCCTCCTCTGTTAACACTGCACATCACACTTCTCACACAGGTTAATGTCAAATCTTGAAAACACAAGTTGAAGATTTATATTTCCATTTTAACGAAAGAGCATTATAGAGCACAAAGTAGTACAAGCTGCAAAATCTAAAATAAATAAAAACGCCTTTTATGCCCCCGTGCAAAAGGTCTCCTTTTCTGTGTGATGACTGCTGGAAGAGCATCAGCAGGACAAGTGGCCTCTGCCCAGCAGAGCTGTAACAACTATGCCCGGGATGAAAACCCCAAGTAAACTTAAAGCAGCTTTAAAACTGCCCAAGTGACTTCATTCAAAAATTTTCAATAATAGAGCGCCAACAAAACTTTTATAGAAAACAAAGGACCAAACTCATCTTTACGGTATTTTTTCTTGCTGGGTGGGTTTTTTCCTAAATAAAATACATTAAGCATAATCTTGAACAGTTAACCTGTACTTTTAAGACAAAAACCCAGTCACTGTCTCTTTCTATGTGTAAGTCCTTCCCCCTTGTACCACCCTCACAAACAAACAGGGTAAGCTCAGCCCATCACGGGGATAAGTCAACATCAGAGGGAGATATTGTAGAAGGACTCCAGAGCCTAACCCACACGTTTCTGCAGAGGGACAACATTAATGCTCTTGGAAATCTTTCTGGCAGCCAGATACAAGAACGCACTTATGAATGTCTCTTAAATACAGCTATTTACAAACGAAAGCTCCTATGTCTCTCTGGAAACTAGTTCTAGGAATCCATTAGTCAACTACCACTGCTGCCCACACATGCCCTGTCCCAGGCCAACAGGGAACCTTCCTGGGGAAGAGCACGCTGAAACTCGCTCACATTTAATGCACTATATTAGGATCAGCACTGGAGACCTCACCGGGTGATAAGCCGCTGTTTCAAAACCAAGAACATTTACAGCTCAGCTTTCCATAGACTGAGAGCAGAGCAAGCAGAGCCTCTTCCTGTTATCTGCGCAACAGAGGCACCCAGGACACCCTCCAAGACACAACTTCCTCCTCGCAAGGCTCTAGCAGAGGACCCTCGGCCATTCTAAGCAGCATTTTAAAGCTTTTCTTTAAAAAGAAAAAAAAAGAAAGAAAGAAAAGAAAAGAAAAACCACACATGGAAAGAAAGAAAGAAAAGAAAAGAAAAGAAAAGAAAAGAAAAACCACACAATGGCAGAGGCCCAGAGGATTACCCAGCGGAGGTATGACTGGGAGAGCAAGGCTGGGTACCCAGCTGAATGGCGCTGGGCACACTCCCTGTCTTTCTGTGACCCTGTCTCTTCATCTGTAAAGTGAGAGAAGCAATATGACAATTTCCAAGGTTTCTTCTGCGTTTTATCTTACAAAGTTCTACCCACAGCAGATTCTGGGATGCCTTAATCCCTACTGTTGTTTAATAAGGAAATGTCATCAAAAATGTAAACTTCACAGGTTTATACTTACATGCTTTCCTTGAAGAAACTTTCTTTAAAAACTATTTTCTCAACTCCCAGACTAAAAACCCTTTTATAAGCAAACGCTCTCACTTCCCTATAGAGTAGAATCCCCTACTCCCTCCCCGCCAGCCCGAAATTGAGAGCTTTTTAACCAGTATGCCGACTGCACAACCGGGAACATTCTCTCCTGACCCCAGGGGGCTCAACTCCCTCCAGAAGTCGTCCTGTAAGCTCTGGCCACCTGACTTAAAAAGGCAGTATTTCAGAGGCACCAGCTGCTGCTCTTACAGAGGCATTACTCACAACCCCAGCCCTCGAGTAGACCGCCTTGCATCTCTGGGAAATACTTAAGCACAACCTATTTCCAATACAAATTCCCGACTGTGGGACCAAGACGCCTGAAGCCCATGCCTATCCTCTCAGAGCTGCTGCCTCAAGCAAGGAGTGTGTAAACCCACAGGAGTGCCAGAAGGCACCTGGGAGACGACCCTTTGCCTACAATCTCCCTCACGGCAACTGTGAGTGTGGATGTCCCTGTCAGACTCTGGGACACTCCACCCAAAGACACCATAAACTCCAACCTTCCTACGTACAGGATCAAACACATTTAGAGAAGGGAGTCTAAATACTGTTAAAAATGGCAAAGATCTGGGCACCTGGGGGGCTCCGTCGTTAGGCATGGGCCTTTGGTTTAGGTCGTGGTCCCAGGATCCTGGGATCGAGTCCCATGCCGGGCTCCCTGCTCAGCAGAAGGCCTGCTTCTACCTCTCCCACTCCCCCCCCACCCCGCTTGTGCTCCCTCTCTCGCTGTGTCTCTGTGTCAAATAAGTAAATAAAATCTTTTTTTAAAAAAAGGTTAAAAAAATGACAATGATCCTAAAGGACACACTGACATTCAGGAAGGAGCTTTACAGAGCAAGAAGCAATCATTAAAATCAACAGGCTACGCTAGAGAGTGCTTTCCGGACGATGCGGGGACTTACTACTATTTAGGGTGAATGAATGGCAGGAACATGCCCCCTGCCTCATCTCTGTAAGGCAACAGCCCCCAGAACCGCAGGAAACAGCGCGGGGGAGGAACACCTGCAGGGAGCCGGCGGCGCCCAACTTGCACAAGCACCAGTGTAGCAACACCAGGCGTGACCCGGTTCGCTCCCGCCGCACCGCGGCTGGCGGACTGCGCTCTGCGCTCGTTAACGTCCGCACACACGTGAGGCAGCTCGGGGCACTTCCGAGCCATCTCAGAGCGTCTGCAGGCGAAGCAGCGAAAACCGATCCTAAACGGCTGTGACGCGCGCAGACCCGCGACCGCAACGTCTGCGCCCCAAGAGCTGTAATGATCTTGTCCCACAGCTCTCTGAGCCTCGGCGTGAAACCAAGGAGCCGGCCTCCGCCGCGACATCTCGGTCGCCCGGCCACGGAGCTCCCGACGGACACCACCGCTGCGAGCCCGTGCGCTCACCAGCGCGGCTCGCAGGACACCTCTCAGCCGACGGGGACGACACCACTCGGCAGCCCACAAGCAAAGCACACGCGGAACCGAAGAAATCCCGGACACGCCAGCACTCTTCACAAACTTGCCGGCCCGCTCTGCCCTCCAGCCATCCCAACACCGCCTCCACGCAGGCCGCCGGGGCCAAGCCAAGGGTCGGCACAGTCGAGCCCGCCACAGCGCCGGCCCTCCCTCCGGGGTCCACCTCAGTCTGACGAGGCGGGCGCCAGACCCGCGGCAGGCGGTCCGCGCGCCCGGCCCCCCACGGCCCCAGCCGAACCCGCGGGTCCCCACCCGCCCCCGGCGCCCCTGCCCGACCCCCCGGCGGCACCCGGAGACGCGCTGTCCGCTCCGGGCTGGGCCCGGCCCCGCCGTTCCCCTCCGCCCGACCCCGGCCCTCACCGGCGCGCCACAGGACTGCCAGGGCTCACTCCCGGCCCGTCCGCGATCCCTGGGCCAAGCCCTCAGGAGCCGCGGGCGGAAGCCGGCCGGGCAGCACCGATGAGCGCAGATACGACAGCCGCAGCAGCCATCTTGGCACATCCGGCTCCGGCCGCCGCGCCGCCGACGTGTCCGACCGCGACGTCAGCGCGCGCCACGCCCGCCCACCACGCCCATCAGCCCCGCCCATCGCAACCGCTCCCGTGACGCTGCGCCCCGTACGTTCGCTCCGCCCTCTCCCTCGCCGGCCACCCATTCGTCCGCCCCGTTGGCCCCGCCCCTCGCCTGCGACCAATCTTTCGGCGTTCATCCCTTCGTCCCGCCCCCTTGGCCTCGCCCCTTGGCCCCGCCCCCTGCGACCCGCCCTTCGCCCACCTGCCGGGCCGGGCGCGCGGCGGGCGGCTCGGAGACGTCGCGCTGGTTCCGCCGGCTCTTTCTCCCAGTCTTTTCTCGTCTTAGGGTGGGAGGAGAGTCGGGGCTCTTCAGTCAGACCTAGGTGAAGAACCAGCCTTGAACGACCGAGGCCAGCGGGCGCCCCCGCCGACAACAGCTACTCGGCGGCGCCCTGGCGCAGGCGCGACCCTCCCATCCTGCCGTTGGACTTCCTCCAAGGCTGGAAGTCGGCGGGAGGTGGCCGCGCATGCGCCGGCGCCGCGGCGGGCTGCGCCTGCGCACCTCGCGGCGGCTCGCGGGTTGCTTGGTTACGGCCGGCGGTTGCTCCGGGTTCCAGTTGGGCCCGGGAAGTTCGTTTCGTTCGGCGCGCTGCCCTCGGGAGCCCGACCCTGGCGTCGTCCTGTAGGCGGCCCCCGGCCTCGCCCTCGCGCACGCCCCGTTGCTCCTGCCGTCCTGTCCCCTCCCTCCGAGCCCGCCGCAGCCCCCCGGCTCCGTCTGCGCGCGGCCGCGGCCCCCAGGCCTCCTGCACGGGATCCGGGGCCGGGTTCGGCGTCCCGCGGCCATTGAGCGCGTGTCCCGTGCTGCGCGCGCCCACCCCAGGGACCGGCCGCCGCGCCTGGCCTGCCGCTCCTGCCCGTGGACGGCGGCGTCCGGGCCCTCCCGTGGAGGACCGCGGGGACGAGGCGGTGCTGTCCTGTGTGTCCACGTTTCCCCGCGAGGAGAGGGAAGTCCAGTCGGTGGGGAAGCAGGCACCAGGTCGGGTCCGCTCACCTGCATAGCTACCTGGGGCGGGGAGGGCAGCCGCCTGCCCGCGCTTGCCCCGGCTCCGTCCGCAGGGCGGGAAGAGGCGCGCCGCTGCCCACCCGACAGCAACCCCCGGTGCCCCCGGTGCCCGCGCCGCCTGCCGCAGCTGTGCAGCACCAGCCGCTGAGGCCTGCCGAGGCGGGAGGGCTCCCTGGTCACCCGTGGGCCTCGGGAGCCTGGGAAGGAGGAAGGAGTGTGCCTCAGCCACTTGTGTGCTGTGACGTTGGCCGGGAGCGGCCACGCTGTCAGGGCCCCGGGGCCTGCCCGGGGACTTTCAGCCCATCTGACGTGGCCACTCTGCTAAGCTAACATTTGCCTTGCAGAAATCAAGGTCCCAACCGATCTGAACACAGAGTCCGCCTGAGCTGGAACTCAGCCCCGGCCCTCGCCGCCCTCGATTCACTTCCTGCTGCAGTCACCTTGTCCCAACGAGCAGCTTCGCAGAGACAGGGGTCCCTGTTAACTCCCCCGAAAGGGGGAAACAGAGGCAGAGGTGCAAGGGCCCACGCCCTCCTCCCTCCTGTTAAGTCTCCTGAGTGGAGGCCCTCACAGTCTTGGCCCTTCGTGGCCTGGTGTGCAGGAGAGGGATCTGGGCCCACAGGAAAGCCAAAGGTCAGGCAGCCTGGGCTCTGAGCCCCAGGTCCGCCGCTTTGAAGCTTCCTTGCTCCTGACCATCCCATCCTCACAGCCCGGAGTCCCGGCGGGGTGAGCACCTGCACAACGTGCTCTTGGTGTTTTAGCCAAGCAGCAGGCAGGAACCGGACTGTCGGGGCCCGTCAGGGGCAAGGGGCCTGCACCAGGTAGGGGGTGCACTGCCTTGGCCGTAGCTGCCATCCTTCCCTCGACCTGCAGTGTGTCCCTCGTTCTCTCCTTCCTCCTCCTTCCTGGCTTACAGAGGCTACATACAAATGGCACCACCTCCCTGAAGTCCGTCTGTGGGGGCTGGAGTCAGTCGCCCTTTCCTGAGTCGTCGTTAGTTCCTCACACAAAGCTCCATAATGAGCTGCAGCCCTGTGGACAGCGCGCCTGGACCCAGGGCTCCGCGCTGGCTAGCACAGCCGTTCTCCCCTCCCAGCAGCCTGGAGAAGGCTGCCACTGAGAGCCTGTGAGCGGGGCTGGGCGGAGCTGGGATGGGCTCTAAGTACACAACAAAGGCCAGGGTGCATCAAACGGCCCGCTGGCAGCTCTCCGTCACACATGGAAATGACAGCATTTGGGGTATATTGAGTTAAATAAACTATTAACGTTTATTTAATCTGTTTCCTCTAATCTAGCTCATCGGAAGTTTGAAATTCCACATGTGCCTTGCATATTTCCGTCAGACAACGCTGGCCTAGACCTTGAGCACATTGTGGGAGGGGGTCAGGGGCCCCCCATGCAGCAGCTGAAGGCTGGTGGCTCACAGCCACGAGCCTCTGCCCCTCACTCCTGCAGGGCATAAAGTAGCTGCAGGAGGGCGGTAAGTGGGTGCTGGCGGGGCGGCTCTGCTCCACACCAGGTGCTCTGCTCAGCCTCTGACTCCAGCCCTTGGTCCTGGGCGCTGAGGCTGGGGGCACAGGAGGGGGCCTGCTTGACTCAGCCTGGAGAGAGCAAGGGGCTGTCCCCGTGAGACAGGGCCAGCTGAGGGGCCCAGGGGAAAAGTGCGTTAGGGCTGCAGAGGTGGGAAGAGCTGGCAGGGAGGGCTTCTGGAAGAGGAGGCCATACAGCTGAGCAGGTCTGAATGCAGAGGACGGGGATGTTTGTTCCCTCAGGAGAGTGCAGGTCGGGGGGCAGAGAGAGCTGGGTGTTCGCGCCTCCTCTGTGGCCCCCATGGTGTGGAGCGCCGGTTGGTGGTTTGTAAGGAGTAGAAGGAGAGGGAGGCACCTCTGTGGGGGCAGCTAGGGGAGAAAGCCCGCAGGAATAGAACCGTCCCAGACCCCAGGGGGCACCTTGCAGGAAAAAATCCATACCCTGGCTAATCACAAGCATGGCACCTTCTCTCTTGTCTCCTCCCTGGCACCTGCAAACATGCCTGGCACCTGGCAAGCCTCGGAGAACATTTTTTTTTCTTGTTGAGCCAAGTACTAAACATGTAAGGTGACATAGTGAGAAGGGTGTCCTAGAAAGCACAGGAAGGACGCTAAATGCACGCAAGGCAGGCCACAGTTGGAGTCAGGCGAGAAAGTGAGTCGTGTCCCAGTAGCTGCAGTGGGGCCCTGGGAAAAAACTGAGAGAGACCTCTTTCACAAAACTGTATGTGTCGTTTGCTGAGCCTTACTGTGTGCCAGGCATGGCTAGGAGCTGTGGCTGTGGGACTGACTGGCCAGGCCTCCGCCCTGGGGAGCATGGACACTGGGCACCTGCCAACGTGTTCAGTGTGGGTGCACCTGGCAAGGCCTGGGTCCCACCTGCTGGTGACCGGGTAGAGCCAGAGATGGAGGAAAAGGTGCATTTGTGGCTGAAGCAAACAGAAGCTTTGTAGTGGCAAGGGGCAGGAACATAGACAGTGGGAGGTGGCCTCAGGCGGGAGTGCCTTGCCTGGGGCTCTTCGGGTCCTGTACTTGATTTCTGAAAGCAAGGAGGCTCTCGGGGGCTCCCCACCAGGTGTGACATCATCAGTCTGGCCTCTCCCTGGTTCTGGCAAGGTGCTATTGAGAGCCAGAAGCCCAGGAGGTGGCCTTGGGGCCTCAGGGGAGCAGTTAGGCTGCTGGGCCAGACTGGTGACTTCCGAGGGCAGGACCCAGCTCTCTCGCTGCCAGCTGCGGCTGCGGCCCCCTGCACAGCATCAGCACACACGTCAGCTAAAGGAGCACCCAAGACAGAAGGGCAAGAGCCCCGAGCGTCCGTGGGGAGTACTTTCAGGCCTGGGGCATTGCGGATTGGGAAGACAGAAGGGCTGACCTGGAGCATGGAAGAACGCCCAGATCTGCCCGTTGCCAAGTTCCACCAAGTGCTGGGTTCAGCACTAACTCCTGAGCGTTAGTGTTCTTGTCTGCAAGTGATGTGGCAAAGCCATGGGTCTTCCCGAAATGTTATGAGAACATGGACCAGGAGAATCACCGCCCTGGCTCAGATGGGTGCACTTGGGGAAGTCACCTGCCCCTTTAAGCCTCAGCTTCTCCATCTGTGAAACGGGGTTATAGCACGGTGACGGGAGAACCGTGAGCGATTTGTGAGCGGCAGCAGAAATGATCAAGTCCCGGTGGGACCACCGGCTCTCCAGAGGGGGCACTAGCCGGACGCTGCCAGCAGGTGGAGGCAGAGAGTCGCCTCCGTGTCCACGGGCCCTGCAAGCCTGCGCCTGGGGAACTCGGGCTTCAGGGTGTGGGCATCAGGGACACCTTGGGCTCCTGTGGGATCTGGCCCCAGTGCAACAGGACGAAAGATTCTGGCTCCTCACATCACCACCCGACCGCGGCCCTCTCCAGGGGATTGTTCCTCTCTGGACTCCCCCGGCCCCGGGAGCAGGGGTTGGTGGGCTGAACACAGCAGGTTCCCCGTAAGTCCTCCCAGAGCTGGGCTTGGTGGCACGGCAGAGAGCCTGTGCTTCTCCGGCTGCGCGCACCGACTTCATCCTCACGGCTCCGGGGGCTGGAAAGTGTTTCTCTCCCGTATAGAGCCCCTGCATTCTGCGTTACCCTGTCCCTCGCCAGGTGCTGCCAGCGGCCTCCCTTTCCTCCGTCCTACAGACAAGGAAACACGGGAGAGAGCAGGTGACTCACTTCAGGCCGCACTCTCCTGAGGCTAGTGCTTAGGAAGGAGCAACGTCCAGACAGGGTGACTGAAGGTCTAACGTGGTGTGTTTGCTCTGAGGCCAGCGGCGCTTTGACCGTAGACACGGTGCGATGTCATCAAAAACATACAACTGGAT